CTCCCCCCCCCCTTTATTTGTACTATCATCTCCATGCTGATGATGAGTTCTGGGAAACTCAAGACCTTACTCACTAGTTTGTGACAACTAACACAAAGATGGGCTCCAAGCTTTGGGCAAGTCTGAGCAATACACCCAGTGACCCCCACCTCCCAATTAATGCTGTAGAAGCTGTCATCCCTTGTCCTTTTCTACTGTCACAATCAGACAGGTCAGTTGGATGATGGAGGCTGTTCGTCCCTGCCCTGGCCACACAGTGAAATCGAAGTAGTGGTGAGCATACAGTAAAGTGCTGGGAACAGGCAGACCCAGGGGGGTCAAGTAGAGCTACTAACCCCCAGATAAACAGGGCAAGCAGCAGTGACTGCCACTGTGCTGCATTAATTCAAGGACCATGAATTGGATGCCAGGGCACTTAGGGCCGAGAGTTACCCAGTGATGCTGACCCTGACAAAAAGGCATTGTACTGCTGTTAGTTCATTCAGATTTTTTTCTAGTGGACCAACACAACTATCCATTAATGCCATCAACAAGATAGATCCATGCCCCAAAGGAGATTCCAGTCAAAATGTGCATCATAAGGAAGGCAGCTCTTCAAACAAATTCATGTAAATACGTGTAGCATAGGAATGTAATAAATTGTTCTTAACATAATGCAAAATACAAAAAAGTCTTATAGCATATTAAAAGCTAACATTTATTTAACCGTAACTTTTGATGGGCTGGAGCCCACCTCTTCAGATATACAAAATGACTTCTCAGTCAGCAAGGCATGCACAAAAAGAGAGAGAGAGAATTGTGAATAATAGATTAAAAGACAAGAGGTATACTTTGTGACATAACTATGCAAAACACAAAAGTATGCAAGATAAACCCCCTGACCAGAACAGCTGGAATTGGAGATAAATTAATCTAGATATGTTTAAGAAATTTAATATAATATTTGAACTGGTTAAGAATGTTATCAGCTGCATTTAATCCCTGGTTGATACAACATCCCTATTGATAAAATTTAATTCTGTTGTTGAAGAATGATGTAGAGGTCAGAAACTGAATGTCTTGGTAGACTGAAATATTCTGCTACAGTGGTGACTTTTAATATCAAATTTATGTTCATTTATTACTTTGCATATAGACTTGTTTGTCCTGTATTGGCAGCAGCAAAGTATTTTTGTTACCTTTTAATTATGCTTATTTAAGCTACATAATTAAAATGCATATAGTTACATAACAAAGCAGAAAGCATTATTGACACATAATTGCATACATGATGCAAGACGAAGAACAGGTAAAAGAGTCCCTGATGTCATTTTTGGTTCTAAAACAGCATTACCTGAGGTCCTAACTACATGTTACACAGTTCTTGTACTATGGCCCTGCCACAAGGATAGAAAGCTATCAGATGTGTGTTGTGAGTCACCAATTGGGAACTCAGTTGTCAGGTGCACAAGATCAGAACTGCAGCATGCAGGAAGAATTAACTTAAACCTTTCCCACTGTGTTATTTTCCTGACCTGAAACTGCCCTGGTTTCCGACCTGAAACTGCCCTGCTAGTTGCTTTGTTGAGGACTCCAGTGTACTGATGCGGTACCATAAACGTAAGTTTCCTCAATGGGGCAAATAATACCCCTCGGGGCCATTTCCTTTGGTTGCTAATATTTCACTTTCAGTTCTTAATTGGCTGATCTCTAACAAGTAATGCTGATTTCAACCTGCAACTTCTAATGCCCCCCTCCACACTCTTGTCCTTGCAAAAGCAGTCCCTATAGTTTTTGCAAAAGAAGGGAAAGGTGGTTAAAAGGGGTGGGGGAGATGTAAGTTTAACCCTATTGATCTGATCACTTTTTAGTGTTGGTCTGGGAACTGCTGTTGACAATGAAGCCAATATATACATCGGGTACACCTCAAGTGTTGGGCTCCAGAGAGGTAGGGACTACTGACCTCCTGAGAATGGAATGTATGTGGCCACCCACAACCAATATAATTAGGTTACTTTATTGACTAGAAGATTGTATTGATTCATGAAATGAAATGAAATGCTTCATCAAGGTCCTGTGGATTAATATGGTGAGTTAATGAATTACTTGAACTCAAATAGATGGTTATTTAAAATGTTACTCTGATGTGAGCACAGTGTTGGCTTTTAGAGAATCACAATCTTTTTGTTAGATTCAGGTGGGTTAGTCTGAAGCAGCAGTACAAAATTTGAGTCCAGTGGCACCTTTAAGACCTACAAAGTTTTATTCAAGGTATAAGTTTTCATGTGTTTATACCTTGAATAAAACTTTCTTGGTCTTAAAGGTGTCACTGGACTCAAATGTCAATCTCTTTGTTACTCATCAGTGAAATAAGAATAGCAGATTATATAGGATGAAAAGAGACTTCCAATCCATTGTTTTAGGCTATGTACATTCTTATATGACCATACTTCAGGAGAAAGCTATACCTCTCTCCTATACAAATGAAATCTGTGCATCAGAAAGATGAATGTTGCCCTGTCTAAGCTCAGCCAAGCCCGATCTCATCAGATCTCGGAAGCTAAGAAGGGCTGGCCCTGCAAGTAAGTGGAAGGGAGACCTCCAAGGAATACCAGGGCTTGAGACACAGAGGCAGGCTATCAAGCCATCTCTCTGAAAAATGTCCAAGCCCCAAGTAGGGGTTGCCAGAAGTCACGACTTCAAGGAATGCAAGCTCACACATGCACACATGCGTGCACACACACAAATACCCACCAAAAAAGAGACAGAGAGGTGAAAGTTGCCCTATTTATCCCATCACTAAAATCTGAAATAGCACTTTTGGTAGTACACAAATGTACTATTTATAAAGTATTTTGCACATTAGCTGTGATAAAGAATATACATTTTAATTTTTGTATCCCACCCTTCCTGCATGCGGGCTCAGGGTGGGTAACATCAAAATTTCATATATAATATAATCAATATAATCAACTGTCAGATTAACATTTAACTAGAAATGGCAACATGGCTTTCTGTACTAGCTCCAACAGCTGGGTAGGTGGTAATCATAGGCAATTTCAGTAGGACTGCTTTGCAGGGGAGGCCATGTGATTGGACATCCATCACCTCAACCAAAAATTGATATCAATTTTTGATATCAAAAGATATAAGTAGTGTTATTTCATCCATTGGAGGATTGTAAATTTCATTAAGCTGTGTTTCTGTTTTAGCTGGACTTGTGGACCTCCTTTTTGAAGCTTGTTTTCATTCAAAAGCATATTATGCTGTTGCCTTGTGCACCCAAAAAGAGGGAAATTAAGTTTTGTTTGGTTTCTGATGGTTATATCTGGGTTGTTGTTGTTGTTCTTCAGTTTTCTCCTACTTTCATTCCAATATTATATAAACATGGATTCTAACATATTCTGGAATATAGATTCTTCCCATAGTTTTTTCTTCAATCAAAAGTAATTCGACTTACCTTAATTTGGGTCCTTTCTTCAAGAGGAATCAGAGGCCCAACGAATTGGCCTCTGAATATGTCACTGCCCTGTACCAAATGGCTCTTCGATGCGAGTTCCAGAACATCGAAGAAGCCCTCCTTGACTATTTCGTGCTCAGGCTCCGGGACAAGAAGCTCCGTCCCAAGCTCATTGGCCAAGAGGACACAAACCTCCAAAAGGTGATCCGGGAGGCTGCAGCATTCAAGAAGTCCCTGGATGTTGGCAACCAGAAGACTGACTGCTATGCCGCCCCAGTGCACTAGGCCGCCAGTTCCTCAGCCTCCGACGTGTCCAACTGCGAGGAGGCCCTACGGATGCATCACCCAGCCCGCCATGGCACTCGCACTCCTGCCACAGCTCACACCAGTGAACCTGCCATCTTGACACCCTGTGCCAGCTGCAGGGAGCCCCATGAGCCGAGATCCTGCTGTTTCCAAGACGCCACGTGTCGAAGCTGTGGAAAGGTTGGCCATATTGCCCATGCCTGCCATTCCAAGGGGACCCAGAGGCCCATCTGGACTCTGCACATGCCACAGAACTGCACACCACTTCCATCTAGCCGCACCAGATACTTCACTTGCCCCAGGACACCCCCGATAAAATTAAAGTGACTGTTTTGATCGGGGAAGCCCCTTGCACAATGGAGCTAGACACTTGGTCCTTCATTTCCATAATCTCGGAGGGCACCCTCTGTAGGTTCTGACTGAATGGGGACCCTCACCTTAGTCCGGCCGGTTTCACCCTACGGGACTTCCAACAGAATGACATGGCCGTGAAAGGGGTGGGGATGTTTTGGGTGCAGTACCGGAATTTTGAAGGGCTCTTGGACTTGCTGGCAGTTGCACGAGTTTACTTGGAATAGCATGGTTCGTGCCCTTGGGGTTCCAAGTCACAGGAGTGTACCAAATTGCCCGAGAAGCCTTTCAGCGAGTGTGTGACGAGTTCCCGGCCATCTTCGATGGGATGCTTAGTCGCTACACCGGACCCCCGTCTCCCTCCAGGTCAACCCAGAGGTGCAGCCCATACAGCTGAAGGCCTGGCATTGTCCCATTTACACTGAAGCCTAACATTGATGAGGAGCTGGATCATTTGGTGGACCAAGGGGTTTTGGAACCCGTCTCACATACCCTTTGGGAAACCCCAATTGTCACACCCATTAAGCCCAACAGGGATGTCCGCATCTGCGCGGACTATAAATGTTCCATTAATAAAGCACTGCCTTTAAAAGTGTACCTTTGGGTACTTATATAAAAAAAAATAAAGCACTGCAGGACCACACCTACCCGGTCCCAGTAGTCAGCCATGTCTTGGCCTTCTTGGCGGGCACCAAGATTTTCAGAAAGTTATACTTGACCCAGGCCTACCAGCAGCTCCCAGTAGATGATGTGACCGCTGAGGTCCAGACCATCATGCATAGGGGTGCGTTCAAGGTGCAGCGGCTACAGTTTGGTGTCAACGTGGTTCTAGAAATTTTCAAAAATCACATGAAGCCTTTCTTCAATTGCTGCCCCCATGGAGGGGGAATTTGTCAGCTGGTTGTGCGCCATCCTGCAGCAGTTCCAGTTGGCCAGCCTAAAGGTGAAGCAGGAGAACTGCCTCCTGGGTGTTCTTCAGGTCGAGTTCCTGGAGTTCTCCATAGATCCATCCATCTGGCCCCAGACAAGGTTCGTGCCATTGTCAGCTCCCCCGCGCCTACTTCCAAGCAGGAGCTACAGGCTTTCTTGGGGCTCCTGAACTTTTACCATACCTTCTTGCCACATAAAGCTGCACTGGTGGCGCCACTGCACCACCTCCTTGACAAGAAGGTCCCGTGTCTGGGGCCAACAGCAAGCCACTGCGTTCTGGGGCATGAAGGAGCTGCTCACCTCCAAAGCAGTCCTGGCCCATTTTGATGAAAATCTGCCTGTCGTGCTCGCTTCCAGTGCTTCACCATATGGGGTTGGCGCTGTTCTTGGCCACCAGCTGCTGGATGGCAGGGAAGTCCCCACGGCATATTACTCCCACACCCTGTCTTCAGCTGAGTGCAACTGTGAGCAAATCAATACGGAGGCGCTGGCCATCATAACGGGGGTCAAGAAATTCCACAACTACCTCTATGGGTGGCTGTTCACCATTGCGATGGACCACAAAACTCTGCTGGCACTTCTTGCCCCAGATCGCCAAACCCCCAGATGCTCTCCCCGTGGGTTCTTCGTTGGTTCATTTTCCTTGCGGGATACCAGTACTCCCTTCTGCACCATCCTAGGAAGGCGATGGGGCATGCTGATGCCCTCAGCTGCTTGCTGCTCCATCGATCTGGACCTGGCTCCTGCACACCAGATCTTGCTCTTGGAGGAGCTTCCCGACCGCCCTCTGTACATTGTGGACTTTTCCTGCCACACTGCAAAGGACTGGATCCTCTCCCGCATCCCAGACTGGGTGGGGAGGGGCTGGCCCACCAGCGAGGTGGGCCCGGACTTTGCAGCCTTCTCCTCCCACTGGGATGAGCTCTTGGCTCACAAGTGGTGCCTACTGTGGGGCAGTCGGGTAGTAGTTCCTGTGCCCCTGCACCAGCGAGTATTGTTGGCCCTGCATGAGACGCACCCCAGAATTTTGCGAATGAAAGCACTTGCCCAGAGCTATGTGTCGTGGCCAGGAATGGACAGCAAAATAGAGGCCTGAGTCCAGCACTGCCAGGCCTGCCAAGAGACCTGGCCAGAACCGCCACGTGCTCCCGTGTAGCATTGGGAGTCTATCCATTTGCATTTGGACTTTGCCAGCCCCTTCCAAGGACAAATATTCTTTATCTTGGTGGACTTCTACACCAAATGGCTGGAGATCATGCCGGATGCCTCAACCTTCACCAGAGTGTCAATCCATACCCTCAGACGAATCTTCAGCATGCACAGCCTACCCCACATGGTGGTAACAGACAACAAGACTGCCTTCACTTCAGGGGAGTTCCAGGAGTTCTTGGGCCGCTACTTAATACGGCACATCTGCTCCACTCCCTTTTCACTACGGCCACCAACGGGCAAGAGGAGAGGATGGTGCGGACCATGAAAGAGTCCCTCAGGTGGATCATCCACGGGGACTGGGACCATAGGCTTGCAGCATTCCTTTTTGGCCACCGGGTGACCCAGAGTGTAACCACTGGGCGCAGCCCCACTGAGCTCCTCACCAGCAGATGCCTAACTATGCGACTGGACAGACTGCACCCGGACTAAGCCCCAAAGCATTGCCCATCACCGAAGAGCCAGGAAGCGCCCAGAGGATTTTCCCCAGGCAATCCTGTCTATGCACAGAACTTCTCCAGCGGTCCTACCTGGGTTCCTGCTAAGGTCATCAGTCTCACCAGCCCCCTCTCATATGAAGTCTCTACCGATGGTGGACAAGTCCTGCACAGGCAGATGGACCAGCTTCGCCACCAGCACCAGCTGTTGTGGAGGCCAGTCGCCCAAGACCACTACCACTGCCGCCAGAGCGCAGCAGGGAGGGGGATGCGCCTCACGCCAGGGACTGTTCTGACCATGCATAGTCGCTCACACCCATACAGACTGTTCCAGAGCCCTGGGACTCTGCTCCTGACTCACCATCTTTGCCCAGTGCCACTGCTGCAATCCCAGACAGGGCCCCTGTGACTTCGCCAACACTGTCTGAGCCAAGACGCTCTCAGCAGGGAAGGTTCAATAATAAAAAGTAGAGACATCACCCTGCCAACAAAAGTCCGTATGGTCAAAGCAATGGTATTCCCAGTAGTAATGTATGGCTGCAAGAGTTGGACCATAAGGAAGGCAGAACGCCGAAGAATAGATTCTTTTGAATTATGGTGTTGGAGAAGACCCTTGAGAGTCCTTTAGACTGCAAGGAGATCGAATCAGTCAGTCCTAAAAGAAATCAACACTGATTGTTCCCTGGAAGGCCAGATACTGAAGCTGAAGCTCAAATACCCTGGCCACCAAATGAGAAGGGAGCACTCACTGGAGAAGACCCTGATGAAGGTAAAGATGATTGATGAAGACTAAAGGTAAAAGAAGAAGGGGACAGCAAAGGATGGGATGGCTAGACAGTGTTATCAATGCAACGAACATGAAATTAAGCAAGGATGATGCAACAAACATGAAATTAAACAAGGACGATGGAAGACAGGAGGCCTTGGGGTGATATGGCCCATGGGGTCGCGAAGAATCAGACTCCGCTGTGCGACTGAACAAACAACAACAAAAAAGCTGTCTTGGGTGCAAACATTGGAAGAAAGATGGAGTACGAACATCCTCAATAAAATAACAGCAGTTCAAACTACACTGGTGTATGTAATAACAGAAAGCCTCTCACCCCACAAGGAACAAAACATAATAGAAATTAATAGGCATTTCGTGGTACCATAAAGGGTAGCTCAGTTTTATTCCAGGATATGCTTAGCCTCCAAGGAGCTACAGCTCTGAGCCCCCAATGCCAACCTACTTGACTACACTCACCCTACCTCACTAGAAAAGAGTAAGAAGGGCTACACTCATTACCCACTAATTTTTCTTCCTCCTAGGATGAAGCACAGCTGGAACTACAGGGCTGGAGCTTTCCTCCAATCCTTGGCCACCACCAGCAAAAGTGGTCAGGGACCTGCTAGAGCCCCCTGCCCAATGTGGTCCTCCCCCTTCCAGCAGACCAGTCCCAGCAGGTGCCTGGCAATAAAAACCATTCACACTCCAGGGCAGCCTGTCCAGGAGGGACATAAACAGGCACCTCATGTTAGCACAGGCACCTGGGAATTGTAGTTTCTGCCCTCTCTACTGTCACCAAAGAGCAAACAAGCAAGAAGAAGGTTGCCAATAATATAATTGACCAAACATACAAAAGCAACCTTGAAGAATATAAAGAGAATCTGTTTTTTGCAAGAATATTTATAGTGATATAAGACAAGCTATCATGTAAAGTGCAAATAAAGTACAAAGTGCATGAATGCTTCGGTATGTTTCGTCGACTCTCCGCTGTCACAGCAACCCTGGCACATGTGAAGGCCTCAGAGACTACATTGCCCAGAATGCAACTGTCAGCAAAAAGGGCCCTTTCAGTTTACAGGCTTGGCGTCCTCACTATTGCCTGAAACGTAGGAGGTTTTTCCAGAGGAGAGGCGAAGGTGGTTGTTGTTGTTGTTTTAAATTGCGACTCACACAGAGTAAAACAAGAACCCAAGGGGACCTTTCCAAAGCTGTTTGGTGAGGATGCAGAGCACATTCGAGAGGAGGCATCGCTCTTGACAGCCCAACTTCTTTGCATCCGAAGAAGGGCATGAACCCAGGGGTTTCCTGGGAGCGCAGAACGTTTGAGTGCCGGCGCTCTTTTTGCAGCGTATTGCTGGAAAGAGCTGGCAGAGAGACGGACACTTGGCTATGGCTTCATTTCGGGTTGCCCGCAGACTTTGGTGGGGCTGCAGCAGGAGTAAGTGCACACCGCGCGGGGAAGGCTGCTTGGCTTTGGCTGCGAGCGTCAGAAGAAACTTTCTCCCAACGCTAATTGCGGGGAAAGGGGGTCGGCACCGCGGTCCAGCATGTGTTAGTTGCGGTTCTTAATGTGTGTGTGTAAAGCTGAGCAGGCTGTAATTCAGCCGTGTGGGGAACGCTACCTTTGCAGTTCACGCAGGAAAATCTAGGCGGTCACTAAGGTAACACAGTAGCCAACGATGCTTGACGAGTGCCAGCCTGGGAACTGGAATTAAGAATAGTCCTTCTATGTGTGAGGCTGTGCGGTATTTAGCTCCAGGTTGTGGGTGGGTGGCACCATCTTCTACTCCTTTCGGCTCCCGTAAGGGTCTTAGACCTGAGCAATCATAAGTCGATGCTGCTTTAAAAAGCTGTACTGAAATCTGATGTACTGCTAAGTATTAGTAGCTTCGATAGCCAATTGGCGGGCCTGACTCGTAGCTTTCCAATGGAGTTATTTGAAAAACTGAGGAGGGACGTGTGTGAGTGTGCGAGAGGGACAGTTGAGTTTAGACTTGCCAAACTAAGATGCAAACTAACATGATAGAGGCTTTTGCATCTTGAAGTCAGTGAAGGTAACAGTGAAAGTTTGGAGTTTGGAACTACTGATCTTTTAGAAACAAGTTTTGATTAGAGAAAGAAAATTGATGATAGTATTTTTAGTGAACATGGTATGGAGTTCCTGAGGGTAATTCTGGCCACAGTCATGATGGTGCACTTGCTTATTTACTGCATGAAATTCCATTGGAGTAGCCAGGTTAGTCTGTTGCAGGAAGAACAAGTGTGTTGCTGTGTTTGGTGATCACCTTACATTTTCTTCTAAAGTTTTATGCAGTGGCTTGGGTCCTGACTAGCATTTCTACAGGCCTACATAGCATGATTTTCCTGTCTCCCTCTCCCATGGTAGCCCCAAATCTTGTTCCTGGTGGTCCCCCACTAACTGTTAATTCCATAATTTCATAGTCAGCAGTCAGTTGCTTTTCCAGGCAACACAGTGAACTTATTTCTTTTATTTATTACGTATTTCCCCAAAGAGCTAAAGGTGGTGTGGGTGATTTTCTCCCTTCTTCCATTTTATCTTCATAACAATCTTGTGAGCTATGTTAAACTGCAAGACTGTAATTGGACCAAGGAGCAATCCTAAGCAGGTCTATTCAGAATCCTACTGAGGTCTATCCAATAGAACTTACTCCCAAGAAGATGTTTTTAGGATTGCACTGCCAGTGTGTTTCATGGCAAGGTTCCAGTCTAACTACAGTGGCACACTGTTGTGGCTGTTAATAATGTTTAATGAGCTACAATAATTCATGAAGTTCAAATATGTCCTGTATATAGTATATGAAGTAACATTCTTGTTATACTAGCTTACAAATACTTGTATCCTGCCACAGAAGTATTTCCAGTATTTTGAGAGGAGAGGAGGAGGAGATTGGATTTATACCCTGCCCACTCAGAGTCTCAGAGCAGCTTACAAACTCCTTTCCCTTCCCCCAACAGGCACTCTGTGAGGTAGGCGGGGCTGGGAGAGCTCTTTCCAGAACTGTCCTTGAGAGAACAGCTCTGACAGAACTATGGCTTGCCCAAGGTCATCCAGCAGCTGCAAGTGGAGGCGTGGGGAATCAAACCCGGTTCTCCCAGATTAGAGTCCACACACTTATCTACTACACCAAACTGGCTGATCCTCATGTTGATGATCCTCATGAACAAAATTTGGGTGGGGGCTGCAGGGGGTGGGGGGAGTCCAGCTCCAGGAGTTCCTCTCTGCTCTCAGATCTTACAGTGTTTGAGCCACTGAGAGTATTTCAAAATTCTGTGTGTAAAGGGCTTGGTCAGTGGAACATAAGAAACATCTGATTGTACACAATCTGAAGCAGAGTTAAACCCTTTAAATTACAACCTCTATGTAGGACTGTAAACTAATTCCACTGAACTCAAGGGCAGTTGCTCCCAAGTAAGTGTTTTCAGAAGTGGAACATTGGTAAATATATTCATTACAAACAATATAAGATTTATTTTTAATGTATCTAAAGCATCTGTATGTTTGATGTCATTATCTTTATTTTCAGGGTTTGTTTCAACTGATCTGGTTCCTAAGGTATCAACAGCTGAGATTGCACAGATGCGCAACAAGCTCTTTGCGAAGGAAAAAGAGAGACAATTGTCTCTCTATCCACGAATTGAGAAGATCGAAGTAAAGTATGTTGGCAAATCTCACCCAGGCACTATATTTGTAATGAACAAAGGACTCTCCACACCATATACTTGTGCCATGCGTAAGTAAATGCAACAGAGTACTGGGGTTATATCACTCTTAATCTGAATGACAAATCAAGCTAACACTAATGTTATGTTGCAGAGCATAGTTGTACTGTGCTCTAATTTCATTGCCATCTCCGTGACTACATATGCCTGTGTTTTAGGGTGGATAATAAAAATTCCATGTCTACCAACTATATAGGAAAAGAAGGGACAGTATACTCTACCCACCAAACCTAGAGATATGAGATCTTGTGGGAAAACTGAAAAAAAATCAAGAGAAAATGGCTTTTTCCCTCCAGGAGAAAAATTGGAAATTTGGAGGGAGAAATTATTATGTAAAAACATTTTAAAAGTAAAAATGCTCTTTCAGAATGATTAGTTTAAATGCTTGAAAGGGAGTTTTAAAATAAGTTTGAGTCCAGTGGCTAGCACACTTCCTCAGATACCATCTGGTACAAAACTAGATCTAAGACAGAGACAGTGGTAGCTGTAGCACTGCTGTTGCATTATTATTAAGCAAGCAACGTTTTTAGGAGCTGGTGATATGCCAACTGTTTTCAAAGCAAAATGCAGAGGTTTTTTTCAGATATTTGGTCCAAATTATGTCCAACATGTTGCTCCTGCAAGGCTTAACCGCTTTTATTTCTCGCTAGTCTCAGATTCCTCCATCTTCTGAATAATGTGAAATCAACTGAGCAGTGTTTGAAAAGGATGTGTTCTGATCTGGTTGCCTCACCTCAAAAAGAATAGCCTAGAGTGGGGAAAAGACAGGAAAAGGCCACTACGTGTGTGAAACGCCGAACCGCTTGTGAATCGGCTCCTTTCCGGTAGGGGCAAGCCGTGGGTGAAACGGCAGCCCTGTACCGGTTCATCTGGAAACGGAAGACTCCCGGTTTGAAACCGGGAGAAAACTGGTAATGTGAAATTCCCCAATATTATTACATCCGCATTCAGGTGGGCTAGCCGTGTTGGTCTGAAGCAGCAGAGCAAAGTTTGAGTCCAGTGGCTAGCACACTTCCTCAGATACCATCTGGTACAAAACTAGACCTAAGACTGAGAGACAGTGGTAGCTGTAGCACTGCTGTTGCATTTGTCTGTATTATTAAGCAAGCAACGTTTTTAGGAGCTGGTGATATGCCAACTGTTTTCAAAGCAAAATGCAGAGGTTATTTTTCAGATATTTTGTCCAAATGATGTCCAGCATGTTGCTCCTGCAAGGCTTAACCTCTTTTATTTCTCAGTAGTCTCAGATTCCTCCATCTTCTGAATAATGTGAAATCAACTGAGCAGTGTTTGAAAAGGATGTGTTCTGATCTGGTTGCCTCACCTCAAAAAGAACAGCCTAGAGTGGGGGAAAGACAGGAAAAGGCCACCACAATGATCAAGTGGTTTCCTAGATACAACATCTCAAGTATTTGAGGCTTTCAGTTCAGGGGTGTGTGTGTGTGATTAAACAGGGACATAAGTGATTTCTAGAGTGGCACATGATTTACAGTACCATCTTCATGGGGCACCCCATGCAGAGTATGCATAAGTAATCTAACATGAATATCAGTAAGGCATGTGTGACAGTGGTCAGATCACCTTTCGTATGGAACAGCTGCAGTTGGCTAACCAGCTAAGCCTGAAAACAGCACCTCTGAGCCACTTCTGTCTATGTACAAAGAGGCAATTAGAAGCAACTCAAGCTGCCAGCCTGCTCCTTCTTTGGGAGAGTAACCATGTCAGAACAGGCCATAACATACTCCTTTGTCAGGTTTGTTTTGGACCCATACTGCTTCCATTCCATCTTGTCTAGATTCACCCTCATCCTATCCTTCATTGCCATTCAGACACCAGTTTACTATTATCATCTCTCTGGATTTCAATGACAAGGAACAATGCTTACTAAGTTCAAAAGATAAAGACTTCTGCTTTCTGTATTACAATATTAAGCGTTTCTGTTTTCACCTCTTATTTATTTCTTCTTTCCCCAACATGCAAAAACTAAGACAGGTATATCAAGTTGCAGCTGTTTGTTGCTTCATTGTTAACTCTGAATATATTGGCACCTACATATATTGGCATTTATAAATATACCAAATAGTAAAGTTGTATGTGCATGCTATGCATTGTACATTACATGTTCTTAAAATAAGATTGTAAGCTTAAATTTGATGAAGAAATATTTTATATTTCACTCTTATCCCCTTTGGGGGGGGGGAGGTCATTGTAGACTTCAGATCCCTCTGCACGAATCCTACAAACTGAGCCAAAACAAGTGATTTCCATGGTCTTCCTGTAACCCTCCAACGCCTTCTGCCCATTCTAATGGCACCGGCTTCTGGTACTATCTGATGGTAGAGGCTGAGCAGTAATGTTTGTGGACATTATATAGCTGATAATTTTAAACTGCCAGCACCACCTCTTTTTTAAAATATATGGGTAATGTGTTCATGACTACATTTTTCAATTTTTGGGTTCTTCCTCCTTCTCTAGATTTAAGTGAGTGGCACTGTAAGAAATCTGTACTCGCCCTTGTAGACGGAAAAATCTGGGAAATGTACCGGCCTTTCACTCAGTCATGCGAAATACAGTTTCTTACTTTCAAAGATGAAGATCCAGAGGAAGTGAACAAAGTAGGTTTCTGCCATATTCTGCCATTTTTTCCAGATTTTTAAAATCTCCTTTATGTTTGATTTCATTCCTATGAAATGTAGAGGATTGAAGGATCCAGGTGTAGCTGAACAATTTAATCACATTATTCTGTAGTACAGTAAACAGGGAACATGGCTGTGTTAATCTCTTGCAGGAAAAATAAACAGGCATCCTTATGTCGCCGTATGGACTGGCAGATTCATTGCAGTACGAGCTTTCATGGACTAGAGCCCAGTTCATTGGATGTACAAAAAGCCTAACTGAACCTCAACCCACAAAAGATTATATCACAATATGTATATTTGTCTTTAAAGTTCCCCAAGGTATTTTTTTACTGTACTACAACAGTATCATCATGCAATATGCTATCTGTTAGTAGAAAATAATCATTTTCTAATTCCTGGACCAATGAAATATGAAACCCACCACTGTGTGCTTTTTTATAAATGGCTGTGTTCTGGAGAACCTTACCATTTAAAACATTATTCTACCAATATATAGTATGTAAGAAAGTATCTAGCAGCTGAATACCCCGGACTAGCTGTGTGTCAGGCACAGGTAATATTTGGATGGGAGACCACCAAAGAAGACTGAGGTTGCTGTGCAAAGCAAGGCAATTGCAGATCAGCTTTACTAATCTCTTGCCTTGAAAAACGCACAGTCCTGGAGTCACCATACTTTGGTATTTATATTTATTTATTTGTATTTATTTGTAAGTGGAAAATGGCCCTGTTCCCTATATTTTTCTGTTAGGTTGCTTAAGAATGTTCCATGGAGAGATGCCAGGAACATTAGTAGGAACATTAGCAGCCTTTTTAGTCTATGAAATCAAATTTTAAAGCTTAAGCTGTGTTTTCAACTGCACTTCCATAGCATTTTATTTCAGACTAACATTCATTTGAAAACCTTTGTTGCAGGCATATTGGCGGTCTTGTGCAATGATCTTGGGATGTGTGCTGGAACAGGCCTTCAAAGATGAATACCTGGTAACTCTTGTTAGAGCACCAGAAGTGCCAGGTATATAAATGCTTTTTGCACACTTCTGTTGCTCTTGGTAAGCTGCATATTGCATTACATGAGCAAATGATGTTGGTTATCATCACATCTTCTAGTTAGGAACTGGATAAGTTGCTTAATTATAAGCTGACTGGAAAAGTATTTCCTTTTATCTCTTTTGACCCTACCATGAGGAAATTCTGGGGAAATGTGCCGGGAAGGAGTTCCAGAATCTCTTTGGCAAAATTCTTTTTAAAATGTTTAGAAGTTCATGAGTTTTTAGTATACAGTTTGAAAAGTTAATTTCCGTCTTGAAAATTCTGGCTCCTCTTTTTCGGGGGCGGGGGCGGGGGGAGACCTGCCTACCACCAGTGCATATTTTGTAACCTCAAGTTCTAGTATTTTTGTGTGGAAAGACTACAACAGTGACTTCTTTTTCCAGTTGGATCCAAAAGTGATATACAGCCAGTGTCCGTTGATAGTTATTTCTTCCATGGAATTTAAGTGGTGTACATGGAGTTTCCAGGCTGTTCCCCACCCAGGAACTGGTCAGCTCTAATCCTCATTAGCACTGTTTCTCATTTTATGTTCTGAAATTATTTTTCACCATTGTAAACTGGACTCTTTCTCCAATTGCAATAGTTCTTAATAAGTTAAATAAAAATATTTGTAAGTGATTTGCTAAGCATAGCAGGTACTTGT